CTTAGGAGTTTTCTCAAGTAGCATTAACAAGAAAATGTTCAACAATTTTAACCATCAGAGAACTGAAAATCAAATCTGCACCAGGAGACCATTCTAGTCATGTAAGAATGAGAACAATAAAAGTAATAAGTCCTAGCACAGAAGTGGAGGAAAGAGAAGACAAACTCCTAGAGTGTGAGAAAGCAGATTAATCTGTCAAATATGGAAATCAGTGTCGGTTTTCTTCCAAAGAAATAACACTAAAGCAGAACAATCATATGATTCATAAGTATCACCTGGGTTCTTATGAAAAGAAATAAAATAGAGATGCCTGCATATCCATCTGCATTTCAAAACTATTTCTAACGTGCAAGGTAAGTAAGTCAGCACAGCTGCTCACAAATAAACTAAGGGGTTAAGAAAATGTGGCGCTTATGTATCCTGGAGCAATAATCAGTCATAAAGAACAGTGATATCATTTGGTCTTCAGGCAAGAGAACGAAACTCCATGTCATCAAGTTAAGAAACATAAATACACTCTTAAACACAAGGGTGGTTGGATATTTCAGGTGCTGAAGAAGGAAAACGTAACAAGAGTAGGTTAATGTAGGAGTGTAACTATTACATCAGATGAAGGGGAAAAGAGAGAAAACGTAACAAGATTAGGTTAATGTAGGAGTGTAACTATTACATCAGATGAAGGGGAAAAGAGAGAAAACGTAACAAGAGTAGGTTAATGTAGGAGTGTAACTATTACATCAGATGAAGGGGAAAAGAGAGAAAACGTAACAAGATTAGGTTAATGTAGGAGTGTAACTATTACATCAGATGAAGGGGAAAAGAGAGAAAACGTAACAAGATTAGGTTAATGTAGGAGTGTAACTATTACATCAGATGAAGGGGAAAAGAGAGAAAACGTAACAAGATTAGGTTAATGTAGGAGTGTAACTATTACATCAGATGAAGGGGAAAAGAGAGAAAACGTAACAAGATTAGGTTAATGTAGGAGTGTAACTATTACATCAGATGAAGGGGAAAAGAGAGAAAACGTAACAAGATTAGGTTAATGTAGGAGTGTAACTATTACATCAGATGAAGGGGAAAAGAGAGAAAACGTAACAAGATTAGGTTAATGTAGGAGTGTAACTATTACATCAGATGAAGGGGAAAAGAGAGAAAACGTAACAAGATTAGGTTAATGTAGGAGTGTAACTATTACATCAGATGAAGGGGAAAAGAGAGAAAACGTAACAAGATTAGGTTAATGTAGGAGTGTAACTATTACATCAGATGAAGGGGAAAAGAGAGAAAACGTAACAAGATTAGGTTAATGTAGGAGTGTAACTATTACATCAGATGAAGGGGAAAAGAGAGAAAACGTAACAAGATTAGGTTAATGTAGGAGTGTAACTATTACATCAGATGAAGGGGAAAAGAGAGAAAACGTAACAAGATTAGGTTAATGTAGGAGTGTAACTATTACATCAGATGAAGGGGAAAAGAGAGAAAACGTAACAAGATTAGGTTAATGTAGGAGTGTAACTATTACATCAGATGAAGGGAAAAGAGAGAAAACTGAGGAGGTGTAGGGAGAAAATGTGGCACTTCCATATCGAAAAATAGCATAACTTTCTTAAGATAGCATGTCAAAAGAGAGTTTGAGTTTCACAAAATGAAATTGTGTGTCTCTCAAGCAAACAAGCACTAAGTAATCTTTGTTGTGACCCAAAATTCAGTCAAAAGCTGATCACAGAAGAATAACTTGAAGAATAAAGAAATTAAAAAAAAAACCATGAGCATATCAGGAAGGTCATAGAGTGAGTTTTAGGAAAAAGGAACTCATGAGCACTATCAACCAGAGTGAACTTTATTCAGAAAATGAAGCCAAAGGAGCCATATCTCAACCAAGGTGACTGATAGTTTTGAAAACATCCTCTGAGAGGCTGGAAAACTACTGCTCAAAACTCCGAGAATCTGGGACATTGCACCTGTGAGAAAGGATCCTTCTCAGTAGCCCCTTGACAGAAAAAGCAGAGCAACCTCAAAGAAATGCCTTTCCTGTCAATGGTCATCACAGACACGTGGAGAATGAAGGGTAGACAAGATTCTTCTGCATCCATGGCAGGCTTTGAAGTGAGGATGGAAGTACTTCTGTGGAAGTATGGAAGACAGATTTCCTCCTCTTCTCTTAGTCCTAGTGACTGCTGAAACACTCACTTGCTCTTGCATGGGCTCTTACGCTGGCAGGGTGAAGGAGGTTGGACTGGAGGGCATTTTTGCTGGTATGGATGAGGGGAGCATGGCTCAGGAAACTGCAAAAGGACAAGGCTCTGGGCACTGTGGAGGAGGACAAGGCTCAGGGCACTTTGTGGGTGGGCACACAGGAGGAGGCTGGCAGGGCTGCTTGCACTGCTGCTCTTGGTAAGACATCGTGCTGAAGGCTCAGGATCTGAAAGACATTACATGACAGTGTTAGGGGATGATCATCTCAGAGAAGATAGACAGAGACATGGAACATCACATCCCTTTCTCTCTCCACTCATGCACGTATCCCCAACTCCTCTTTTCGGACAGCCTGGCTTTTCCCTTTCCTGTCAGCAATATGTGCCACAGTAACAACCTAATCCCCCTATGAATTTTGTTGCACAATTTCAACAGGGTAGAATTCCATAGGTCTTCCCAATTGTATGCTCTCTACATATCTAAAAGGCAAACGCTCCTTTTGTGGTCCCAATTCAATTAAAAATTGAAACTGGCTTAGGAGTTGGAGCATGACTCTCTCCTTCTCAAAACCCACACATATTTGTTAAAGGAAAATCCAAAACCTTAGTTTCATGTTAGAAGAGCCACAAAGTATGGGACAAATAAGAACAAAAATATTTTAATTGCCATTATAATTTCGTTATCTTTTAGTTTTCATTTGATTCTTTAACACTTTTATGAAGATGTAAATATTATCTCAAATTTTATAAGATTTTAAGTGTGTATATATGCATATATATAGATATATGTAATCTCTGTCATGATATCAATGGTCATATACAATACTCACTATTCTAGAAATAATCTCCATCTATCTTCCTGTACATCATTTCCGACTTTAGACTAAAGCAGGAATTAGGAACTAAGTTTTTGTAGCCTGGGTATATTTAAGAATTGCAGTTCTTTCCCTGTTAAAGATCTGCTGCCTATGACCTTTACAATGTTGATATTTTCTACAGTGAACTCTGCTCATTCCTGACAGTAACCTAGGATCTCCAAGGAAATGATAGGGCCCAGCAACAACAAATCTAAAAATACAAGCTATGATAGAAGAGGGCTATGTATAAAACTTTGGATTCATCGAGATAGGATAAATAATAGAGTATTTTCTCTTCATTTGCCAAATGTAAAGTTATGGATATGGTAAATGTAATTCTTACCTAATAATTGTTTTTATTGTATATGGTTTTATGGGTTAAGAGACAAAATCTCTCCTTTTTATTAGGATAAAAAGGGGTGAATGTTGCAGGATATTTGATCACACTCTGACACTCCAAGACTGTGGTAATAAAGTTTACCTTGAGTCAGGGGGCAGAACCAGCAACCAGTTGACAAAATTAGCCAAAGAGACCTAGGAGTACAGTATAAAGGGAGTAGGAAGAGACTGGAGATTTTTAGCCTTTTTTTCTGTCCACTAGGGTCTAGGAAGTGTGCAGAGGAGGTCAACTTGTCTCTACTCAGCCATTTATTTGATCTATAAGGTTTTTACCCTAATATCCAACTCCCAAGTCTTTTCTGGTGATAGAACAACTAAGGTAATATAATATCAAACCTTCCATATTATTCTGTCTTTAGATTCTACCTACCCTCAAAGAAGTCAAAGCCAATATACACAATTCTTCATTGTGCTTCACTTCAAATTTTCGGACTGCTAACATTCATTTTGTGGTCATCAAACTTACTCTATCCAAATTATATTCAATACATGAGAAGACCATAAAAAATGACCACCAAAAATCAGATTTACAAGTTGTCATAAGTAGTTCATTACCTGACAGGTCAGTGTGTTACATTCAGGTATTCAAGGATATCTTTAGAGCAACAATTTACTAAACAAAATGCCAATCAAACATAGCTATCTGAAACAAAGAAGGGTATGGCCTGTTCTGCACACATTGCTTGTGAAGTTTTGTGACTCAGAAGCCCTTCCTTCCTGTACAAGTTCAGTAACTACTGGCAGTCGGGGAAATAGATGAATCTTCTAACTTGTTTTGAAATTTTTTTATTTCCTCTTTGACTATACTGTTACATTCTGTTCTTCATCTTTACTGGGGATAGAAAAACGTCAGTTTGAGCTGTTTGTCATTTTGTAGAATGTAGACATAACTATCCCCATCATTGCATTTCTTATAAAATTTCTTACTATGCTAGAAGAAGGAAAAAGTCAGAAGAAACCTCGTTTATAATCCTATATCCTTCTCTGGCAAGTCTCAGCTGGTTATTTCTACTCCCTGGGTTTAAGTCATTTTCCTTAACAAAGGAAATATTTAAAAGCACCTGCCTCACATAATGACAGACAATAGCCTCATTAAGCAATTTCTCTACGATGTGTGAGCCTGAGAGTTTCCGGAGTTGACCTGTGTGCCCTGCATCATGGGTTCTTTCCTCTTACCACTGACACAGCAGTGCTGAGCTCTCATGAGACAGTGTGAATTCAGAGTGACCCTCAGGCCCTTCAGCTTTTGTCTCCTTACCCTCAGAGAGGTATCCTTGTAGTACTCTTTAATATTTACAATGATTAAATTAATCTCCTCTTGAAGAAAACATGAATTATCAAATAAAAATCACATGTATACATAAAAATTGACTTACAGATCATAACTCTGTGGTCCTTTGTGAGGCCCTGCACTGCCAGGAACATGTGTATATGATTCAGGGTAAAACTGAGGAACAGAGAGCTTCAGCAAAGGAAAAAATCTCAGATGTAGTTATATAGTTGTTACTTACAGTTCTATGTCATTCTTTGTACAAGTACTTACCCGAATTTGGAAAAGAGTATTATTAATATCCGTTCCCATACAGGGGAACACTGTTTTTCTCAATAGGCTCCCTAGCTTATGACTCCACATCAGAGATTTCCGTGCTGAGCCTCTGAGCTGAGTGATGTAGTAGCAGTCCCCCACTGGAGACATGCTCTCAGTGCATATGCAGGCCTTGTGCTTCCCTAACCCTTCTGCCTTCTTTCAGTCAGGGGCCTGGCTGGAAACAGCACAGGTGATGTTTAAAGTTATTTTCCTTGAGCTTCCTTACCAGGAAAAAGCAATTGTGAAGGCTCCTGAGAAGATTCTTTCTACTTAGAGGGGAAAGAATAGAATGAGGAAGATGAAACAGAGTCTTTAATTGGCCCCATTCTGCTCTGAGAAGCACATGGGCATGGAATCAACATCAGTGAAGCGTGTCAGCTTCCTGTGCCTGCCAGTGCTTCTGACAGTAAGGTTGGGTTTAGTCGAGACTGCCCTTGTCCACGTCCCTAGAGGGAAAGAGTCATCAGTTCAGCACCTGAGGCCAGATGCTGACCAACACATGACCAGAGGATGATTCACAAAGGTTAGTACCCATACTACCAGTCAGGCCGGTTAGAGACTTACTACTCTCCATATTTGCATATCAAACATAAAGGATCATCATAGGTCATGCCTGACTTCTGCTGTGTCAATTACAGCATTGCCTACTGACCTGGGAAGTCAGTGTAACATAGAGTCTGTTACATCTAGGTTCTTCCTTTGAATATAGTCCACTTAAAACAGTATAAAGTGTTAAAGGGAAATAATGCAAAGAGAAGACATGCTTTGTGATGGGACTTGAGAGGGAAGGGTAGATCAGGTATATAGAGAAGGATGATTATCATTAAAGACCTTTCAAAAAAAAGCCATATGTAAATCTACTACACTAAAAACTTACTGAAGATATACACATATAAAATGTTTTAATGGAGTTACCTTACTGTTGCAGTTGGTGCAATACCTCAAGTAGATAGCTCATCTTAATAAATGGGAAGCAGATCACCTGACAAAATTTGGGGGCATGGTTTGGGGGATAGAAGGAATGGGAGTAGAGGAAGAGGGGGAAAGAAGGGGAGGGTTGGGGAGACCTTGAGGGAATGGGATAGTCGAGATGATGGAAGGACAGATATGAGATCAAGGAAAAACATATCTTGATTGAAGGAGCCATTTTGGGGTTAGCAAGAAACCAGGCTCTAGAAAAAAAATCCCAGGAACCCACAAGGATGACCCTAAGCAATAGAGGAGAGGGTGCCCTGTAATCTTAAATATCACCATAGAACCTTCATCCAACAACTTATAGAAACAGAGGCAGAGACCCACATCAGCGCACTGGACTGAGCTCCCAAGATCCAGTTGAAGAGTCGAAGGAGGGAGAATATGAGGAAGGAGGTCAAGACCATGAGGGGTTCACCCACTGAGACAATTTGCCTGAGCTAATGGGAGCTTACCAACTCCAAGAGGACTGAGATGAATGAGCATGGGATCGAACTAGTCCCACTGAATGTGGTTGACAGTTGGGGCAGACTGAGGGGCCAATGACAACGGCACTAGAATTTGTCTCTACTGCTCATACTGAATTTTTGGGATCCTATACTCTTTGGATGTATACCTTACTCAACCTGGATATAGTGGGAAAGGCCTTGGACTTTCCACAGGGAAGGGTGCCTTGCCCTCTATTAACATTGGAGGGGGTGGGGAGAAAGCATGTGTGGGGAGAGTGGGAGGGGAGTGGGAGGAGGGGAGGAAGTAGGAATTTGGATTGGTATTTTTTAAAGTAATGAAATAAAATAATAAGAATAATAAAAATACAAATGCAAAACTCATTAACACTCACAGCTACCCTCTCTTTAGTTGTTAGCCAGTGGGGTCTCAAAGACTGAATTCACTTTCTTACCCATTATTGCCTGTAACTTGTCCATACTCCAGAACAACATGCTAAGACCCCATTTCTATAGACAGCAATGCTTAAGACAGACAACATGGAGAAATCTAAGAGGTGTTCATGAACAATTCATGTCTATTGGCCAGCCCTTATGATACTGTAAGGTGCTATGTACACTGCTGAAGTAGAAAAGTACTCACCAGCCTTACCCAGTTCTGAACACTGCAACTTACAACAGTGACTGGCTTGACAAGATATGACCACTGGTGTGACAGTGGCACAAATGAATGGGTGCAACCAACCACTTTCTGTTTGGATTTAAGGTTCTTCTCTGAGACAAAATGCATACCTAGCACCATTAAAGGGGAGAGACTCTGTAGCTAGATAGGACATAGACCCTCAAGGATTATCCAATCAACGCTATTATTCTGCTAAATGAACAAATCAACCAGCAATTCCTAATAAGATTGCCACAGTAATATCACTATATCTCGTTCTTCATCAGAGGAGTTTCTCCTTGCAGTGAATACATAACACAGAGACTCAAAATTGATAAATGGTGCAAAGAATGAGAAACTTGTGTAAGTTCAACATTACGTCACAGAAGAGGTAGAAACTGTTTTATTCATATAATCAGACTATTAAACGTTTGAACACATAACTATTGACACAGCATGCACAGTCATGGGAAAGCTCAAACCAGACCAAATGCATCACGCAAGAGAGGGTAAGAATGAAATGCTACCAATTAAACTCCATTGGCAGTTGACAACTTCTGAAAGGGGTGTGTCCGTTTTTAATTATGTGAAACTTGATATATTGACTAAAATCCCAGGAGGACCTACTGTCTAGGGCAGTGAGACTACAAAACCGGAAGTGCTTGGGCAAGGGGAAGCAAATGAAAAAGTAATCAAGGTTGTGTGGGAAGAGAAGGAAAGGCACAGTGTGTTGATAAGGACATTGTTGGTAAGGAACTGAGTCAATATCGTTAAAATACATTGAATAAAATTCTCAGGTAGGCAGTTCTAGCTGGTGTAATAGCTTGTAGTGGTTGAGGTAATGATGGTGGTATTGTTGATGATACTGAAATGTTGCACATGGAAGAGGATGCAGGAGAGAGGGTCATAGAAATGATGTGCTTCAGTCACTTCTAAATTAGCAGGTGCTTAGTGCTAATTATGTGCCTCATATTGTGTCAATCAAATGGCATGCATTAGCTCAATTGTGACCAAAGGCAAGACTTTGGCAAACAGGAGTTTCCACAAGTAAAATTAGCAAGAAAATACATATTTAGCCATTACAGAACAGAAAACCAAGCCTCCACAAGACCAGTCAACCCATGAAAGGATGAGGACCATTAAAATAGTAACAAGTCCTGGCAGAGGAGTGAAGGAAAAAGAACACAAACTCTCAGAGTTGAGAGAGGAGACTAACCCATGAAATATGGAAATCAGTATGGGGTTTCCTCCAAAGAAATAGCACTAAAGTAGAATGATCATATGATTCAGCACCATCAGTTGGGTTTTTAACAATAGAAGTCACATACAGCGTAGAATAGAGATGCCTGCATATCAATCTCTATTTCAGTACTACTCCTAATATGCAAGGTAAATTAGTCAGTACAGCTGCACACCAGAAGTGGATGGGATAAGAATGCGGCACTTGGGTGGAGTAGAGGAATGATAAAACAATGATATCATGTGCTCTTCAGGCAAATAAATGCAACTGCATATCATCATGTTCAGGGGAAAAATCCAGTCTCAAATACAAGGTTGGCACTGATGTTTCAAATATTAAAGGAGTAAAAGACAATATTAAAATAAAGGAAATATTTAAGGAGGAAAAGATGTAGATGTGTAACTGTTACATTAGATGAAGGGGACAAATGAGGGGAAATACACGGGCTACGGGAGATATTTGTGCTAAGTGATGCATGCATGTCTGAATACCACATGACCTTCTTAAAATGGCATATGCTAACAAGGAACCTGTATTTGTGTGAAATGAAACTCTTTCTCTCAAGCAAACAAACACTAGGCAATCTTTGTTATGACCCAAAATACAGTCAAAATCTGCTTACAACAGGATGACCCCGGCATCAAAGAATAAAAATAATGTAACAGGAGCATATCGGGAAGGTCATAGAGTGAGTTATAGAAGAAAAAAAGAACTCATGACTACTAACAGTCATATTGTACTTTATTCAGGAAATGAAGCCACAGTGACAACAACACAAACAAGGAGACTGAGAGTTCTGGAAACATCCTCTGAGTGCACAGGGTGGGAAGATGCTGCTCATCACTGAGCATCTGGGACACTGAGTTGGTGTGGAAGGGTCATTGTCAGCCTCCCCTTGACATCAGAAGAAGAACAGTCTCAGGAGAATGCCCACCCTATCAGGGGTCATCACAGACACATGGAGTGTGAAGGCTGGAGAGGATTCTTCTGCATCCATGACAGGCTTTGAAGCAAAGACGGAAGTGTTTCTATGGAAGAATGGGAGGAAGATTTCCTCCTCTTCTCTTGGTCCTGGTGACTGCTGAAGCACTCACTTGCTCTTGGGTGGGCACTTCTGCTGGCAGGGTGAAGGAGGTTGCACAGGAGGGCATTTCTGCTGGCATGGCTGAGGGGGGCAAGGCTCTGGGCACTTTGGAGGAGGACAAGGCTCAGGGCACTTTGGAGGAGGACAGGGCTCTGGGCACTTTGGAGGAGGACAGGGCTCAGGGCACTTTGGAGGAGGACAAGGCTCTGGGCACTTTGTGGGTGGGCACACAGGAGGAGGCTGGCAGGGCTGTTTGCACTGCTGCTCTTGGTAAGACATCGTGCTGAAGGCTCAGATCTGAAAGACATTACAAGAGAGTGTTAGGGGATGATCCATAGAGAGACAGAGACATGGAACAACACATCTACTTCTCTCTCCACACATGTGCCTATTCCTCAACTCCTGGTTTAGGACAGCCTGGTTTCTCCTTTTCCTTCAGCAATCTGTGGTACTAGCTTTGGGATGTAACCTTCATTTTATGACTCCTTCCAGGAAATAAATACTTTATTTTAGCAAAATAAGTAGGGCTCTTTTCACACAGAAATTCCTTTGAGAGAGACAACCTCAAGTTCTAGAACACTGTGCAAAATTTGAGAGCGCATCTCTTTCTCCCTTGTTACTTGTGACATCCCAGCATCTTGTCTGGGGTTGCAGAATAAAGGACAGCTCAGGAAAGTTCCAGATTCTGATATCTTCTAAGGTATGGGGCTCTGAAAAGGACATCAAAAGATGCACATGAAAGAGAAAATACTCTGTTCAACCACTTAGCAAATAAAAGGAAAAGCCACCTTTCACAGTGAACCATTGTATCCATTGCTATATTTCTGATTGCTAAGTTGTCCCTGTTCATCCCAGGAATACAACTGGACTCATCACACTTAGTCCCTCAAAACTGACTGGAGCACATAAGCAGACCATAAAGACAGACCAACCCAAGAAACACTCACCAGGTTCTCCAAACTCAGAGTCCAGGACGTGAGCACCGGGAGTCTGCAGTCACACAGTCAAGGGCCTCTTTATAGGACTGGCTGCCCCTCCCAGAGGGAGTAGAGCTGTGATAATGGGCAGGTCCAAGAATTTCCCAACCAAAATGCAAATCCATGTATGACTGTCTGACTGGGACTCTACAACATAGGAAATATCCTGTTCCTGGACACCATCGCTGTGAGCCCTGTGACTCAGTGGGCCCTCCTGTCTTTTCAATTTCAGCAAGACCTCCCCGGTTATCTCAGTTGTCTTTCTTTATTGAAAACAGTATTTCTTTCTTTGTTACACCTCTCTGTGTCCTTTTTGCCCTGCTTCGTCTCACTGCTATTCTTTGCTGCACTGTCATATTCATATTCCTGTTTTCTGGTTTTTATTCGCTTGTGTGCTGAAAGCAGGACAGGGAACCACAGCTGTGCTCTCAGCTGCATCTTTGACAAACCTCTTCCCAGAAACGGGTCGTGATTCCTGCCTACGTTTAATTCCTTTCTGTAACCATGGAAAATCTAATATGCTGTTCACAGGGGACGCTGCTGAGTTTGGGCCATAATTTGACCCTCTTCTGGAGCGCCATCTCAAATACCTATAGATTCCCCTCTAATGATAACTATAAAACTGTTTATCATGAAGACAGAGGAACTAAAATCACACTTGTCCTAAGTTAGCATGCTCTTGTTTGGATAGTTAGAATGAAGACTTACAGTCTCTCCTGTTCTCTTGTGTAAGGCACTGTTGAGCCCACCTTGGCTGTGATACACACCTAGTTGAGTTTCTATTAGAATTCTCAAAACATATAATCTACTGAATCCTAAAATTACAACACATGTGCTCATTATTGCAAATGTACACAGGCAGACACTCATGGATGCACACTCACACACAAACACACAGAGAAACACACACAATATCAGTCTTACATTTTTACCTGCCACATAACTACATACATCATGTCTTGCTTTTCTAATATTTGTTAATGATATATTGCTGCATGAAAACTGGCAGAATTAATTAAAAGTTTGGTGTTTGTTGTTGTTGGTTGACTTTATAACACTTTGAAGGAGGCCTAGGGTCTGGGCACTTTGGAGGAGGACACGGCTCAGAGCATGTTGAGGGTGGAAAAGGCTCAGGGCACTTAGGAGGAGGACAAGGCTCAGAACACTTTGTGGGTGGGCACACATTAGGAGGCTGGGAGGGCAGCTTGCACTGCTGCTCTTGGTAAGACATCATGCTGAAATCTCGGGATCTGAAAGACACCATGTGACATTTGTCACAAGAGGTGTTTCCCCACAAAGAAAGAAACTCCATTTTATGAAATATCACAACTCTTCCTTAATCCCAATTCCTGCTCCAGACTTCTTGTATTTCCCTTCCATGTCACCCTTTTGTTTCATTAGCCTAGAAAAGCAAACTTTTTCTTCACATTTTCTGTAAGAAAACATCTTTCTTCCAAAGGACAGAATACTGATACTTGAAGAAAAGGCACTGCATTTTAAATAGTGGCATACTGGTTGTCTCAGTGATGACAGTAACCTCTGTCATTGCTATCACTTGTGATGTCCCAGGAACTTGGTTAAAGTATAAAAGAACACCCAGATCAATTCAAGAATCTAGAACCTCCTTAAGAGAAGACGAAAGGAGTTCAGAAAAGAGGAATGTATTTTCTTCGGTCCTGGAAAGCTGGGTTGTAGTTGGAGGAGAAAGAATAGCTGATTAACGAGTCCCAGCTGTGCTCTGGGAAGCACATGGGCACTGAATCCACCTGGGTGGAACATGTCAGCTTCCTGTGACTGACAGTGCTTTTGACAGTAAGGAAGGATTCGGCTGAGAATGCCATTGTCCATGTCCCTGAAGGGGAAGAGTCATCAGTTCTACACCTGAGGCCAGGAGTCAAGACTCACACCACCAGTGGATGGCTCATAAAGGTTAGTGCACAGCCCATAGGGCCAGGTCAGGAGGAGACTCACTGCTCTCCAAGTTTGCATATCACACCTAAGAATGATCTCAGGGAAACTCTGTGATCGTCATATAAGGTAGAAATAGGCTCACATTTTTTGGCTGCCACAGTGAACAAGGGCATGTATATGGGAGAACTAGCGCCGCTATTCTTCTGTACCTTGCTACTTATTAAATAAGATAAAATATCCAGTATTCTCTCCATTGATTTTGACAGCAGCTGAACCAGTTTTCATTCAACATAAAAGAAAGTGTGCAACCCTTTCCCTGCATCTTTACTAGCCTGGAGTGTCATTTCTTTTATTGATCTTGGTCATTCTGACTGAAGTAAGACAAAATCTCTGAATAGTATTTTTTTTTATTTCCCGGCTGGCTAAGGATGTTAACACATCTAAGAGTTCTCAGCCATTTGTCTTTCATTGTCTACAAACATGCATTTCAGTTCTATAATTCATTGCTTTGAAATAGACTCATATGTTTTCTTGCTGTTCATTTTGCTGGGAAGGCAGAGAAAGGAGGATCCCTGGGCAGTGGTAAATTGTGAAACTTGAACCTTTGTGATGCTTCAGGCTGTTATGAGAACACATGTAGAAAAAAAAAAACACATTCTTTGATTTGAAACAGGAAGATTATCATATTGGCCACGATGAGAGGACTACCAACTAAGATTGGTAATTACATCATCTCTCTAGTATTTTAATTATGAAACTATCATTTAGCCCGTCCATGCCCAATGTCCCCTGGAGCCAGTAGGCAAGAAAAGGCAGCCCATGCGTGCCCAACCACCACCAGAGCCAGCTGGCAAGGAAGTTCCACCCACTGGCACACAACCTCCCCCATAGCTAGCAGGCAAGGAAAGCCGGCATATGCCCAACCTCAGCCTGCCTGCTGAGCGACATTTATTTTGACCTGCATCATGGCCCCGACTCAACCATGTGGAGCCTGGAAGGTTGATCACTGGAGACACAACCCCAACTACACCAATTACAGAAAAGATTTGTAGACAACAAGGTAAGAACACAATTGACAGCAAAAAAAAGAAAAAAGAAAAAAAAGAAAGCAACACATCACCACCAAAAACCAAAGGACCAACAGCAGGAAGACTTGAAAACCACAACACAGGTGAAGCAGAAGAAGATAACATAAAAAATGACTATAAGAAAATGTTTCATTTCCTTAAAGAGGAAATGAAAAATTCCCACAAAGAAGTGGAGGAAAAGACAAACAATATATTGGAAGACGTCAACAAATCCCTAAAGAAAACCAAGAAAAGGCAACCAAACAGACGAAAGAAATGATTCAAGACTTTATAATCAAAATAGAGACAATAAAGAAAACATGAACCAAGGAAATTCTAGAAATGATAATTATGGGTAAACCATCAGAAACCACAATTGCAAGCATAAACAGCGGAACAAAAGAGATGAAAGAAATAATCTGAGGCATTGAAGATATGACAGAGGAAACAGACTAATTGATTAAATAAAATGTTAAATCTAACAAAAGCTTAACACAAAATATCCAGGAAATATGGGACACCATGAAAAGACCAAATCTAAAATAATAGGGATAAAATAAGTCCAAGTCAAGGCACAGACAATATAGTCATCAAAATCATAGAAGAAAACTTTCCTAACCAAAAAAAGTATGCTTATGAAGGTACCAGATGCTTACAGAACACAAAACAGACAGAACCAAAAAAAAAAAAAAGTCCCCTCACCACATAAAAATCATACAGAATAAAGAAAGAATATTAAGAGTGGCAAAAAAAAAAAAAGACTAAGGAACATATAAAGGCAGACCTCTTAGAATAATGGCTAAATTCTCAGTGGAAAAAATGAAAGCCAGAAGGGCTTGGTCAAGCGTTATGCAGACTTTAAGAGACCACAGATAATATATCCAGAAAAAATTTCAGTGACCATAGATGAAGAAACTAAGACATTCCATGACAGAACCAGATTTAACAATACCTAGTCCAAACCCAGACATACACAAAGTACTAGAAGGAAAACTCCAACCCACAGAAGTCAGCTGCACCCACAAAACACACACAGAATAAATAATCTCACAGCAGCAAATCCCCCAAAAGGGAAAAGCACACACAATAACATTACCTAAAATGAAAACTAAAATGACAGGAACTACCAACACTGGTCATTAATATCCCTTAATATAAATGGACTCAACTCACCTATAAAAAGACTCTGGCTTAGAATTTGGATACAAAAACAGAATCCATCCTTCTCCTGAATACAAGAAACACACCTCAGTCTCAAAGACAGACATGTTGCGAAAAAATTTCCCAATCAAACTGACCAAAGAAACAAGCTGGGGTATCTATCCATTATAAAATAGACTTCAAACTAAGATCAATCAAAAGAGACCAAGAAGGACATTTTCATATTTGAACAGGAAAAAAAGCCACCAAGAAGAAATATCAATACTGAACACATATCCCCCAAATACAAGGGCACCCTCATATGTAAAAGAAGTACTTCTAAAGCTTAAATCACACATTAAGCCCCATACACTAACAGCTGGAGACTTCAACACTCTATTCTCACCACTGGAAAAATCTTCCAGATAGAAACTTAACAGACAAATGAGGGAATTAATAAATGTTATGATACAAATGGACTTAACAAACATCTATAGAACATTCCACCCAAACACAAAAGATTATAGTTTCTTCTCAGCACTCCCACTGAACCCTCTTAAAAACTGACCACACACTCAGTAACAAAGCAAACCTCAACAGATACAAAAAATTAGAATAACCCCATGTATCTTATCAGATCGCCATGCCTTAAAGCTAGAATTCAACCACAACTCTAATTCCAGAGCCCACAAACACATGGAAACTGAATAATGCTCACTTGAATCACTGATGTGTCAAGGAAAAAAAGAAAGAAAGAAAATAAGACTTCCTAAGATTCAATTAAAATGAACATACAACATACCCAAGCTTATGGGACACAATGAAAGCAGTGTTAATAGGAAAGTTCATAACTTTAAATTCCTATATATAAAAAAAAACTGAAAAAAAAAATTTCACACTAGTGAGTTAACAGAATACCTGAA